AGAAAATCACAGACGAAACTCGGACGTGTTGTGTGAAAAACCACGGACGCAACTCGAATGCCGCGATGTATATTTTCGTATTTAGGGACACAATTCGTGTGCAGCTGTTTGTTCCATAGGCTGGGATTGGGGATGGTTGGGGGATTAGCCCATCCCCTTAATGATTGAACATTTTTCAACTGTCCCACTTCTTATTTCGAAAGATTTAAGCCCCTCCTCCTAAAACCCAAAAAAATATTGAATATCTATTATAAGTTAAGTTACAGTTCCGAAGTTAGTAGGAATAGGTACAAGCCCCGAGGTCTTAAAAACCACCACGTTAGAAATAATTGTACCTACAAAAAAGGAATGGAAAAAATAAAAAAAACGGTTTAACATCATCAACATCAGAATATTTGTAACAGGGACTTATGCTGTGATCGTGATGTTCAGTGAGCGATCGCCGTCCAGGCGTCGACACTCACCGCCACCGACGACGTGGAAACTGACGAACGAAAGTATAACGAAGAGCAACTAATCTACGCATACAACCCTGGTCCTACGGGACCTAAACTCACTACGGTGTGTGATGCACTGCCGTTGCTCTCTATCGGTACATGCTCATACCTGACCACTATTAATTATGTGTAGCGGTCGTCGTGTTAATAGACACCTTGTGCATGTGGCAATTTTGCTGCGCCACTTATACTAAAGCCATGTAGCGTACAACGATAATACCCCTAAAACGCATTGAAAATGCCGAAAGGTCTCCACTGGATTTTGTCATTTTTGGATAAAAAACGTACGCACGTAACATAAAAATTAAAATAACGGATGATAATATTGAGACTCTACTCTTCATTTTATCCGTGGTAATATTGCCAACGAAGTCTTTACAAAGACGCGACGGCAATAACCATTGATATTTGGTGTTGAGTATTTACATTAAAAAATTAAAAAATATTGATAAAATCTAATGTATCCTTTATTTATTACTTAGTAATATGTAGGCTGTCAGACCGTTCCCACTTAATTAATGACTTTGACTTTTAATTCAAACGTAATACATCAGTGACATCTCTATGGTGAGGTAGACTATAGTAAAATAACTTTTTATTTAATTAAGGTTCTAAAGGAGCTATACCTATTTCTATTTTTCTATTGAATAAATTATCAATGATATAAAATTAAAATACGACCTCTATATGCTAATTTGTTGTAAGTGGCGGTTTTTGTGGTGAGGCTGTGTTTCGCCTAAAATTTTGAAGTATAGAATACTTAAAAACTACATAAAACGAATAGTTAGCGCATGGACGCGATTTATATTTGCTTACAAAGCTTACTTATTTTGAGCGGTTAAAAAAGCGGGCCAAATATCATGGAGGATATCCTCGTAGTTACTCGTTCTGCTATGATCTTGTATTCCCTTGCGCACATTTCAAAGTTTTTAAGCTACAACATTTTAGTTTCATTAAAATTTGCTGCATGAAAAATGGTTTTTTTTATTCGGACTCAACATGTTTGCCTTGAGTATATATTACATTAAAAAAAAAGGAGAAACGAACACAGACGTTTTTGGGTTCATCCTCTTAATTTGAAAATGCCTCAGGAAGGCGACAATAAATTCTTCTTTACGATGTTTAATAATATGAACTATTTATGAATTATCATATTTAATTAAATTGATCAAAAATAGGGATAAGCCGATAATAAATGCAAGAAATAATTATTACGTAAACAGCCTGTAATATTTCAGCCTTCCGGAAACGGCAATGTCCTATGACATCAGATAGGGACCGTCTACTCGTACAACTTCGCCTAAAAACGAATACATAAATTACACACACGAGTATGTATTCAAATGCACTCGATTGTTAAATAAGTAGAATTGCGCATGCGCAATGATAATTTTGAGGCTCGATTTTCATCGCCTCTGTGTACTAAAAATAAATACCATATACCTACTGGTATAATTATGGTCAACTCGCAGGCCGCAGCTCAACATCAAAACACATAATCAGTTGTCATTGTTACAGCCAGGATTCGGTACATCCCTAATTAAACCGTTGTAATATTAATTTATACTTCTGTCTTTTTACAATGGTCGCTAGTATATTATTAAGTTATATATATACAGTGATAATTATTTTCATGTTCTGAAACTCAATTTATTCTGAAGTTTAATTTTTGTTATGAAGGGGTACATGAGTCATCTCAACAAAAAATACTATCAAAACCGACACTGCAGTTGGAGTCAGTGGCGTACACAGCTATTTTCAATTGGGGGGGGGGGCTTACATATAAAAAATTATTATACACTGATAAATCAAAATAATATGTTGTTTAACTAATATTTATTTTCATTTTAAAACAATGTCTATTTTCCTGGGTTTTTGTCCCAACTCATCAATGACTTCTTCAGGAGTTAGGCTACCACCGCATATTTGGGTGTAAAAAGTGTTTTTTACTGTTTTTCAATTTTCTCTTACCTTATTTGTAATAAAACTACCAACATTTAACAATGCATAAAGAAGAAGTTTATCTATGCCACAGTGTTTTTCAGTTTTTTATAACATTAATCTAATCCAAGTTATTTTTTTTAAACATTTACTTTTTTTGTTTTTTTTTTCATTAGCTTATAAACAATAAGTGGCGTAATTTGGTCATGTTGTGAAGGGGAGATGAAATGTTTGTAAATTTCACCTATAACCTCTCCCCCCTTAATGTTTTTTTAAAATCATATAAGCATCTCTCAAAATAAGTATACAGCCATTGTGATCTGTATACATTAAAATAAATAATAATTAATATTTAAACACTCACATTTACATTTAAACATTAACTATTTATTGGTACCTACTACCTAAATACGGTTATGTCACTAATTTAATCACAATAAAAAATCCACTCTACGTCGTTTTAATGCTAATTAATTAAGTACTTCTTCAGAGTCAATTTTAAAATTGTTATGAACAGCCAATGAGCCAACATAGCAAGACCATTTAATCGATTCCGTTTAATAAAAAGTAAAGCATACACTTAAATATAATCTGTACCACAGAAAGTATATCATGACAAATATTTATGTTTTAATCAAGATTCAAACCTGAGACATTGTGTTTCTTAAATATGTTTTCCTCTTTTCCGAGTTTAAAACATACCTTTTGGCGATAACATCGACTCTGGTAAAGTTCATAGCACTTTTAGGAGAAAATAAATATTAGTGTAGATGTCTTTAATCTTTATTAAAATATCTAGATTCTAGAGCCTCGAGACCAGTATAAGGTATTTTTCCAAATCGTATTTTGGTTCGCCACAGTTTTAATTCAACCAAAGAATCACTAGACACCATGGGAGAATACAATTTAGTTAATTCAATAAATTTATTTTCATCATTTTCAGTAAGCTTGTGTTTAGAAAATAAGCATTCAAATCCTATACAATTATTAAATCAAATATATAATCTTTGTTATGTACAGCTGGCAAAGGGATTCGGGTTTCTTTTGTAATATTTCTATAGAGTATACTATAGTTGATAGTAGTACCACAATTTTTTGTCAATGTAAAATTACAATATTGGAATCACTTTCCACCATGAACCAAGATATTTACTGAAACTATCTTAGTTTATACACCCCAGAATGATACGTACAATAATATATTATATTATTAGACCTACATGTTATTTGAAATATGGTAATATCTGCAGGATCTGTAGAATTATTAAAAAAATTGGAAAAATATGACTGGCGGGGGGGGGGGAGTGGCTGGGCAACCCTGGATCCGTCCCTGTATTAATATAGTTCCTTGAATATCAGTTTCCTAATTATAAAAAAATATTTTTTTATTGTATTTGCTATTCGAAATTTGTTGCTGTAACATTCACGATTCACTCATAAGCATAGATAATGAATCGCGGAAAATAAAACGACGGAAAAATAGCCTTGAAAAAAAATCAAATATGAATGTGAACACATGAATATTATACTCATATCTCATGCTCGTAATTAGTAATTACCGTGAGGCGTGAACCGATAACAAAATATAATATATTATAGTGAAAAAATAATGTCATATAAATTTAACACTATAAATTTTGTATAGATGAGTTAAAATTTATATTCAAATTTTTTTTCTATTAAAAGTTGTTTTTTTATATATAATTTAAAACTAAGCATTAGCAATATTCAGACATAAAATTATTTATATTTGAAATTTTTCATTGAATAAATAGGTAAAAAAAAATGTATTATTAATTGAGTCTTCGCATATAAAATTGTCTATATTAAGTAAATAATATTTTTTCCGCCTACCAAATTAAAATTTGTGTAGCTGATCAGAGTTTGGGGCCACCGTGCAAATCTGATATGAGCTACATCATAGTCTCGTGATAGTGAGGTGTGTTTATATGTTTATGTGTACTCATAACTACCTATAAAATAGATGTGGAACAAGAGTTCTGACGAGAAAAACAGATAATAGATGAAATAATAATAAATTGCCGATTTGGTAAAACAATACATAAATAAAATAAAATAAACTATCAATTGGTCAGTGTACTGCTGGGATCAGATCTATACTCAATACTAGCTCAATACTTGCCCAATACTAATAAATAGATAAAAGCCAGTTGTAGGTGACGATAAAATAAATATTATAATGATAACAAAATATGTTCGTTTATTATTGGGAATGGGAGGACAGATTAACACTGGGACCGCTGTCGTCTATTTGTTGCTTCGACGGTTCCACCCCTACGTGAAGCCCGGATACTTTTATAAGCTTGAATTTATTTCCCCCGACATTTCGTAAAAATGTAAAAATTGCTTGCACCGGAGCGCGTTTTGTCTATCTGTTCTCCCAGAGTCGCCTTTTACAAAAAGAATAATATTATATTAAAATACCTTGGATATTAGAGCCATTGATCTAAAATACAATTTGATGACCGGCCGTTGTTTTTATCTGGTTTATTCTATATATCTGTGGGGGCGGCTGTATATCTCACTGAATATTTGATAAGTGATTAGCCTTTAGTTGACGGGGGGTGAGGAAAGCGCAGTGCATCACCTAACCTCCATATGAGGCGCCATTTTAACAAAAGGTTGGTACAACAGTTACTTTTGTTATCACGACGCTAGGGAGAATTTTGTGAACCCGTTTCTCATATCATCCTAGTTGTCCTAGTGGCCATTGTAAGTCGTAAAATATGTTAAAAAGTGAAACACGTTTTTTGAAATCAGAATACTGATTTGCGAATTACTTACTTACCTGTAAGTATAATTACACACTTCAAGTAGAGTACAGTGACACTAACATAACACTTTACAGGAATTAGTCACGCCTGACAATAAAATGAATTTCTTTCGCAAGCTTTTTGGAGGCAAGAAAAAAGAAACCCAGAAACTTTCGACCGAACCATCGACCGAACCATCAGATGAAGTCGATGCATTGGTAAACATGCGATCCACTGAACGATTTTTGATGGAGAGACGTGAAATATTGAATACTAATATAAAAAAGGAGTTGGCCACGATAAAGCAAAATGTCATCAGTAATAAACGAGGTGAATATTGGATGGAATGCTTATAACTAGAAATGCTTAATAATTATTTTTTTAATTCACTTTCCATTTTTGCTGCAGTCGCGCTGAATGCATTGAAACGTAAAAACTGTTATGAAAAACAGGCATCCCAGATTGAAGGTATTTTATCGACTGTCATACAACAACGTTTGGCCTTGGAAAGTGTTAACACAAACACAGTATTGCTCAATGTAATGGAATCGACTTTAAACACTGTTAAAATGGTGGATAAAAATATGTAAGTATAAATAGCATGGTTATTAATTTGTAGTTAAATAGTTTAGGTAGGCATCTGAAATCTAGATATGATTTCTGTTACTAGCTTCAGCGTCGCTCAAAATTGATGTTCAGTACACCGAATACTTAATTTAATATTATACTACTGAATGACATAAACTAAATATACGTTTAAATTATTGAATAGGTACTTTTTTTATAAACATTTATAATATGTACCTAACTGTAGTATGTAAGAACTAATGTATCAAATTCAATATTTATGTAAATAATAATAATGATTAATAATTTATTTTCTAAATTTTTGAATCCAGCATTATTTACATGTAGCATTTATTATTACTTTCTATCTATGTTATTATAAATGCGAGTGGTAATGAATACTTTGGCTGTAAAATAAACTAATGAATTCTAACATATTTTAATCCACCTGTATTTTGATTTATTAAGTATTCTTATTTTCAATTTATGTCAAATTTAACTAAATTTATTATTTTACAACTAAATTACAAGGTTTCGGATTTGAAAGAAAATGCCTTTTATTTTTGAAAACTAAATAAAAATAATTATCATAGTTACACAATTGTGTTACATTTTATTTCTATGTTATAGGATACACACAATTTTTACTTTTTTTTCAATATAAATATTTTATTTGCTCTTTTCTCTTTTTTATGTTTTGTGTTTAATTATTAACCTATTACAATTAAGCAAGAAGTTAATTTAAAATAAATTTTACTTAAACTTTTAAACTCATTAATTCTCAGCCTTGCTAGCATGTGACAGACTATTGTTAGGAATTTGTTTTAATTTAATAATATTAAATAATTACTTTATTTTAAATAAGCTTAAATAAATTTTATTTTATCAGCCGTTAGTGTTTCGTAGTAAAATTTCATATGCATAATTATTAAATGAATGGTTGTTCTATATATTATTGCCTATATAAAAATATTTAATTGGCTTAAAAGTAAACGAATTATGATATATTATTTATAGCAATATAGACGATATTCATAAAATGATTGATGATATTGCAAAGTCACATGGCTCAACTCAAGAAATATCGGAAGCCTCCCGTAATTCAGCCACATTGGAAGTTGATGAAGATGAGGTAAGAAAAATTACTTTTGTTTTAAGGTCAAATAATAATTTTGAATAAATACTCGTATAACAGAGTTATTATTTTGGTCCATTTGTTTAGTTATATTATTTAATAAATTTAATTCTATTTTTTCTGATAATAAATAATTATGTAATTTAAATAATTAAATATATAGTAATTTCTCAGTCATTTATTATTTAACAATTACTTTTATAAAATTGTATTGTTCGAATATTTAGTTGCTTACTATTTATAATTTTTACAATAAAAAAGAAATATCTTGAAATTAATGATCTTATATTGAAGTATATTAAGGTATAGGAGCTAAATTAAACTATAAATGATGTTTTTATTTCTTAACATATAGTTTTACTTAATTTAAGTTTTTTTTTCATATATCCACATGTTGAGATATTGTGTTTATCAGAAACCATTTATCCTATAATTAAATTTAAATGGTGTAATAAGAAATGAAGGACAATATGGATAAAGCATAAATAAATGATAAAATAGGTGACTGTTTATTAAATAAATTTAATTATTATTGATACAGGAAGAATTACAAAAGGAATTAGAAAATCTTGAATTAGAAGAATTGGACGAACAAGTAATAAATATTGATCAGATGCTTAGTTTGTATAAGTATTGTCACATTGTTACTGTGTATAGCTAATATTATTGAATTGTATTAAAATAGGTTGGCATAATACTAAGTTAATTTTTTTACAATACCAATATGTTGGTGATAGTGGGTGTTAAAAATTAAGATACAATATTATAAAGTCAATGGTGCCAAATCTAAGTATTGTGGGGACTACCATGATTTGTTCGAATAGGTGGGTGTGTTGGCGGTAAGTGTAAGTGAGGTTGACAGTTAAATATGATCAGTTGTGCATTGGGTGAGGGTTGATTGCTAAATGTAGGTACACTTTGCTTTAATGTAATATTTATTTTTAGATGTAACTGCCATATGTAAGTACCTTATTTACTTATATTTATAGTACTTGTAGTATAGTAATATAATTGCAGTTTGCAACATAATATACCTAATATGTTAAACTTAGTAAAATTAAATATAAACTATAATTTATATCTGAATACTGTATGTTTGGATTCTTACTAATATGCATAATTTTTCAATAATATAAGTAAAGATTTGAATTCCTCACAAATAATATTTTTGAATTAAAACAAAATAACTGAAATTGTTAGGCACTGTTTTTCGTTTAAATTTTTACCATGCTTATAAACTTTGAATATATATGAAAAAAATATTAAAATATATAAATTTCTTAAGATTTTGTTGGTTTCAGTATAAATTACTTAAGAGGAATCTTGTATTACATTTTCAAACATATATTTATCAACACTATTAAAACTAAAATAATTTTAAAATTTTAAACGCATATAATTAGCTTAAATTAATTCTAAATATTTTCATTGAGTAAAGAAAATGATAAGTAACAGTAGAATATTTCAAATTTTTATGGTCAATACTTTTTGAATTACAATAAAAATACTAAAATTATTTCATATGAAATTGTTATTTTACTCATGAGCATAAAATGTCATGTAAGTTTTAACTTCAGACACTCATAAAAAATATTTGTTTTGTAACATTCAACTTATGAACTTAATAAAGTTATATTAATAACTATAAATATGTAAAATTTGTTAATTAATACAATATTATGCTTATAATAACTAAAATTATGAATAATGGTTATCATTTATAACCTTTATCTAATTAGTGCGACTAATGAATATGATTTTATACTGAAAAGTATGATGGTTATAAATTGTTATACATGATATACTTATATTTTAGCTAAGTTGTAGTTTTTTTTAATGAGCGTTGAAAGAGTTACTATGTTTAATATGTAATGAATTATATATTTTTAGGCCTATTAATGAGTATGTAGATTGTGTTGCAAATACAATTTGTATGATTTCTATGCATGGTAGGTAATTGACAGGGCTAGGATTTTTGTGCGGTAAAAATTTGTAAAATATTCAAAAATATGCATTTAAATTTTATAAGACAAACATAAAAATATAGTTACATCTAAAAAAAATGTATTTATTGAAATACCTACATCAGTGATCAGTGATTGGCTGATTGTTTTAATATAATATAATTGAGATTAAAAATTAAAAATTATTCATTTAATTTTTGCATGCATTAATAATTATCTTAGGAATACAATTTATAATTTATATTCAATAGTGGAAATACGTATGTTACATGCTACAACCACGTATTTTTAAAATGTTTTATTATAAATGATCGTCGATTGGATCGCAGTATTGATTTGTATTGGCTGAAGATCCTTTCAACTTCACAATATGATGCAGTTAGGGCATATTTAAATAAAGAAATTTGGCCTGGTGTTAAATTACAACTGAAATAGTCCTTGTCCGATCCGCCATTGAATATTTTATTTATTGATTGTAGAGTTTAAATCCTTTATTTTTTTTGTAAAACCAAGGATATTTTGTTTTTAACTTTGTCCGCGACTTTTATACTCTCAATGAGTCGATATCCCTAGCATTTCTTATAATCTGTATTAAAGTATTAAATTCTGATATTGCAGTTTAATTATGACTTGAAATAAATAGCAAAAGTTACTTTTAACACATGCTAAATCAGTTTTTAAATTTTGATTATTAAACAATTCTTTAGCAATTTTTATTGAATCTGATTCTTTATCTAATTCTAAGATCACAGATTTAATTGAATTGAAATTATCTACATAATAAGTTACTGCAGACAACAACGTTGCCCATCGTTTCAACACTGGTTTTGGAGGTAGAGGTAAATTTGTAAACATTTCTCTTAATTTAAGTATTCGGCTTTGAGCTTTAAAATTTTTTTTTTATATAAGCTGTCATTTCATCAACTGTAGTGTGTTTGACTCTTATAATTTCAAAAACTCTATGAATTCCGTGGGGCTAAACATGTTCATTTATCAGATGTGGAAATAACACAGTTAAAGAGTTGGCTTCCTAAAGCAGTAAATAAAAAGTATGTTTGAAAAAAAAACCAAGTCTTATACATGATCAGTTAAATTATTCCAGGCTCAAATATAATAAATATGATCATGCTAAATATGCAGAAATATTCATAAAGCTCATTATATGCAAAAACATGCAAAATAAAAATAACACCATTTTCATCAGATTAATATTAACTGTGGACATTACTCACTTAAACTCCATTTGGACGCACCGAAAAAAACATGGTGTTACATACAAATCCTAGCTCTGGTAATTTATAATAGATGATATCTAGTATTACATCAATGTTTGATTATTTTTGTTAATGTTCAGTAGAAAGTTTGAATTCATATGCATACGTATATTGTGTAATTAGTGTCTATTGTGACATGCACCATTAATTCTAGGTATCCAGTTATTATGAGTATAATAGAGACCAAATTTAAAGTATTTGAACATGTACTTCTTGATGACCATTTAATTAAGAAATCAATTATTTGTATAGGAAGAATCAAGAAAAGGATTAGAAAATCTTGAACTAGAAGAATTGGATGAACAAGTAATGAACATGGATCGGATTCTAGCAGTAAATTATCCATTGCCAGTTATGCCAACATTTGAACCTCCTGCACAAATTAAAAGTATTATTATTATTTATGGTTATTTTGAAGTAATGAATTCAGTATTATATTTATTGTAATGACATTTTTTTAGAAACATCTGAACGGAGAAATTCCATGATGACATGAAAGAGTGATTTCATACAATGTTCAAATTAAGTATGGATAACATGGTGATAAACTTAAACAATATTTTTGTGAGTAAAACAAGTTCCACTTAAAATCTAATTAGAATTCAAAAATTCATCATTGCTTAAAAATATAAATGTGCCATTTCATTAAGCGTATTTCCAATACCTCCTATATACAATTTTAATTTTTTTTTCACTTGTTACGATTGTTATTAATACAGTCATCAATAAATTTGAAATAGTATAAGGATTTTTTTATTTTGAAAAATGTATTGCTGTTTTTTTAAATTTTTATTCGGGCATTTTGTAATCAAATATATAGATCATTAATTATTTTTCCAGTCTTATTTATACATGTATCATATTTTTAATTTTTATTATTAAATCCATGTTCTAAATATTTTTAGCGTATGTATTTTTTTATTTGATAAATAGTTTTTTATAGTCTACTAAGCCTTCCAACTTTAATCCGGATTCTTCCAAATCTTGACAGAAAATATGATATTTATATTATGCTAGAATTTGTTATGTCATTTTTAGAATTTGCAAGATTTTGGATTTCCCAGAAAAAATTTTTTACATGTAGTTACTTCTCTGTGGTCATATTAGGTAATACATTGTTTTGTTGGAAAGTTTGATAATAGTGTAATTATAATGTATGGACATTAAAATGCATATGTCAAGTTATTTTCATTCCAACAAACCTAGTTTATAAGTTACATACCATTACCATAACAATCCACAATTTATACCTATGCTGGTCATACATTTAAAAATAATAATATAATACAAATAAATTATTAGATACGATGGTATATTCTTTGTACATAACATTTTATAAAATTATTTTATTCTGAATACCTAATTGTATTAATAACTGTAATAAGTTATAACTCATAAGTAATAACTAATCTTATTTTTTTCATACTGTCTTTATGCAATTATTTTATACTATGTATATAATTTAATTGATTATGACTGTGTAATATAGATTATGAACTCACAAGTAGGTATTAAATATTGTTTATATACATGTAAAAATTAAATTTGTTGTATTCTAAATTGTAATACCTACAGTATTACAATATAACATTTGTTTATTTCTTAAGTTTTTAATTTAAAATAGTTAACTTACTCGACCAACCATAGTGGATATTACAGATAATATAATATCTACCAGTTGTTAAATCCTAAAATTGTTTTCTTTTTCATACTTGTTTTTTATAATACCCTAATCATGATAACTATTTTAATTGTAGTGGGTTCGAATGTAGAATGGTATTATGGTAGATGAAATCAATTAAGTTATGATTATGTAGAATAATTTACTCAATCATATATTACAGTGAAATACAAAATACCACATTGCATTCGTGAGTTGAGAGCCATTGTGATTGACTATCACTTACAATATGTAGAACATTTGTATAAAACACAAACACAATAATTACAATAAGGGTACTTTAATAATAAATAAAATATATGTAGTTGGGGCACAGCACATGGTGCACGCTATTAACTCTCACATAGGTAAACTCCAAATACTGGTTTACAAAAACTGATTACAGTAAAAATAATAATTTGGTAGGTTGTAGGTACGTAGTGTACCCTAACAACCATGATACTATTGACACTCTGATAGCATGATCATTATATCAATTTATATTAATATTACTTCAACTCAGCTGTCCTGATCAAGAAGTGGAGTACACTTTTTACAAGACAATATAATAAATACATATAAAATAAACTATAGAGGAAATAACATATAAATATATAATATATATATAAATAAATGGAGCCAATAACGGCTGGGCCGATATGGCTCAATTTTTTTTATAATTCTTCGTAGTTGCCAGGAGAAGGTTTTTTGGAAAGTTTTTTGGTTTTTCTGAGTTCCGGAATGTGTTTTTCGAATTGAAAAAGCTACAGCAAGATTTAGCTTATAAAATTGTCCATATGACATAATTAATCGTCAAAATGGGGACCCGGCCAACACCAAAAAAATGGATCAACATGGAGAAATATGTCGTGTTTTGAATATTAGGTATTAATATTATGTTTCATTATATAAAAAAGTTTAAATTTTGTAAATTGATAATTTTCGTATCGTTTTTATTCCGTTTGATTTTATTTAAAGCTGTAAATACCCTCTCTTTACATAGAACGCAATAGTTGATAGTAGAGATAAAATGTAGGTATTATCTATATGAAATATGATTATTTGATTATTACGATTTCATTTTCCATTTTCCGTTTCTGGCTTTACCAGAAAAACTGCGTGAGTACAATTTTATTTTTATTTATTTTACTCATTTAACAAGACACACTCCTGGATTGTTTAGATTCACAATTGAACCCGATAGGTCCGACCCGGGGAGTTGCTCAAATAGAGATTTTAAGATTTACGAAGAAAATATTTGTTTATTTACGGTTGCTATTGGTTATAGAAAAAATATAAATATATTTAATAGAAATAGTTATTTTTTTTTGTTTACTGGTTGCCTGCAGTGGTTCATCGGGCAGATCAGGTATATAAGCATGCATACAATTGAATTTTCGCACATTGCCTAGCATAGTGGCTAAGTTGCACTTATAGTCGCTCAGCGGCGTGTCAGCAATCAAAAAATATAAAACATATTATTTCAATAATATACAGCAGGTAAGGATAATTTACTGCTCTCATTATCGCCATCGAGTCTCATATAGAGTTGACATTTTTAAAGGCCAACAAAGTGCACGGGATCAGCTAGTAATAATTAATAATGGTTATCAATAAATGTATAAAAAAACGTCCATAGTTAATTCATTAAAACAAGACCAAAATTAATTAAGAAACTCAAAAAATTAAATTTTTATCCAAGTTTTCATATTCCTAGATTTTAGAGCCCATCATTGGAATCATAGTTTTCATCATTGGTTCAGACCAAAAAAGAATTTTACTAGGAGTACTTTAAAATTTAAATTGTATAGTCGTATTATTGATGCAAAATTGTATCTTATCAAAAAAAAAAAAAAATGGTTTCAATTGCTATGCAATGCTTTTTTAGGCTTAGGATCAACCTGTCTTGTACCTTAAAACCCAGTAGGCTAAGTAGCAATTAAAATGTGTTGTATAATGTAATGACAGTGGCGTAGCCAGGATGTTTTTCGGGGGGGGGGGGCTGCAGGCCCCTCAGCACCCTCCTGGCAACGCCACTGTGTAATGATATGCCCACATGTCACATGTCATTTTAACAAATAAACTACAATTTAACAGACTAATAAATAACAGCCAAACTAGAAATTGTATGTACTTACATAATTTATGTGGATACAGATTTATTATATATTTATTGTATTTAGATACAATAATTTTATAACATTAACATAAAATCAAAAATGATCAATGGTTGGTAAAAAATTTTTTATAAAATAATAAACATTATGCAGGGAATAGGTACTTACATAATTAATATACAGATTTATTATTTATACATAATATTATAGTAAGTTTAAAAAAACTGTAAATCAAATTAATAAAAAATATATAATGCAATTATTAAATATCAATTGTTTATAAGTAGTTAATAGTAGTTACTTAAAACAATAAACTACTTAAATAACATTTAAAATTTGGTTTGGTAATGATTAGATGCAGCTTTGACAAATTGCATAATGGTGATATACTGATATTCTTTTCCTCGGATGACGAAATTATGGCGTTTAAATATTTTGATTGTGAATTTCCAAGGTTATTTATAGAGGTTCCGTGGGTTTGTTAATGCTCTTTAATTTATTGTGAGTGAATGGTTGAATATCTAATACAGCCGTTGTAAAGTGATGTATATATTTTAAGATGTGTGTTCTCAAATGGTTGAGCTAAATGTGAGTGAAACGACTCGCATGCATTTGTAGTTAAATTCAATTCAGCGCTCATTGAGCCCAAATATTCGTTGGGAATAATGCTTCTTTTTTGATGTAGGTGTCCAATATAGGTATCATATGCGAATTGTGTAAGTCTGGAGTTTTTGGGGTTTACATTGACATTGACTATTGCAAAAAAATTAAAAACATCTTCGGGGTCTGAAAATACTAATCCAAGGCAAACCAAAATGCGCATTCAAAAATAAAGTTGTAATCTATGGATTTTACGTGTTTTCAGGTCAAACATACGTACGACCTACTTGTGAAATGTACATTTTTTGTCAGGTAAAAAAAAAGTATCGGTGTAATTTACATGTTTTAAATCCAACCCGAAAATTGACACCTACCTGTAAATCGGTGGAATTTGCAATCGCCCGTCAATTGCGTCCCAGATTCGGGTATAAACGATTTTTTTCCTACCTTTTCTGTATTCCGATTATAGAGTATAGAGAGTAAGTGTTTAAATACATCTAATATATTTGACCCATATGGTGTGTAGATCTATTTAAACACGATTTTTTTTTACTTGATGTCTTTAATCCTACATATTTGGACTGAATTTTATGTATTTCTGTATTATTATTATTATTATTATTATTTTATAACACACTGACCAGAAATGTATTATTTAAATTATTTAATCCTATATAATATTTTGACTGATTTATATTTGTTTTTGTTTAATTATCATTGGATAAATTTCCAACAAATCAGAATACATAGGTCATAAATGTAATATTAGATATAAAATTATTATTCTCAAGTAAAAACAGATATAATTGATAATAAATCATAATGATCTGTGCCGTGTGCGGGTTGAGCAATGTACATATATACACGCATAGATATATGTGTACATTCAATGTACTCACACTACACATGCAACACATACCCACGTCTCCTCACCCACGCAAAGTACGATCGGGCGTTCCACAGAACGACACAAATGCTCTACTATAGCGGTACTTACGTTAGAATCGTAATACCTTAGCGTTACGTTCAACCGATGTACACCAATTATTAATGAATTACATCAGATCAATTTATGTAAGGATCATACAAAATCGACCCATCAAGAGTGTTTCCACAAGAAGAGCCTATGCACGACGTCTACACTACGATTAACTTTTTCGCTTTTCAAAGGAGTATTTGTCGCTGTGCGTATAGGTATACATATACGTATGTATATTGAAATAACTCACCATCGACAATTTAAGAAATTATTTTGTATTATTAACTCAAGTCATCTTGTTCATTTTTTCATTCACTTCATCTTCCTATGCTTATCGAATTCAGCCCTACCATATAAAATTCTATGACTACCATCGTATTATAGCATAAATGTTTTATTATAATATTATCACATATTTACAATTAGCTTATTATTAGTTATAAATATATTTATATTGCTTAATCATTGTCTGCTTAGAAAATAAGTATAGTTAGAAATATTCATATTGCATTCGGTTGATAGGTTATGTTATGCTGTATCAAGTATTCAGGTATGCAATACGATCGTAAGAGCTCATTTACTTAAATTACATTCGGTTGGTAGATTGACTTTGTATGATCACTAGTTACGGGTGTAGGGTTTTTTCTCAGAGCGCATGGTATTAGTCACAATCACAACAAACAAAATTGAGTAATTCATATCCCAATAACCACATAAGGCTCTAGAAAAGAGCGTTAGGTAAAATATAACTGCCTGTAAAAAAAATGTAGAATCAAAATACATGTATAGCCCCTTGTTTTGCCTGTCGCCTGAAGTCGGTGGGTCCAGTACATATGTCTCATTTGTCCTTACATAAATATGGCACTGATCTTACTATCTTAGATATATAATTTAAAGGCCAGATTTATAGATGTTAAGTTGTATTATCATACTAAACTTGTTTTTTCTTTTAATACAACTCATTTTGTTGATTTTTTCATTATTGTTATTTTTTTTCATTATTTTTCAAATTATTGAATACACATGTTATGTATTTTACAAATATTATCAAGTCACAACTATTGTTTTGGACTCTATCTCATCTGCTTATAAGTCCAGTACCTACAATTTTTGTTCGAAGCTGTTACAAAATGATTACTAATTTTTGAATAACGTCTATGCAGTGATCTTCTGAATTTTTATATTCCGTTGACATAACCAGTGGCACATCTAGAGTTCAAATCATGAGGGTGCTAAAATTATGAATCGCTCACATAGCCTTAGAGGGCTTTTATGCCCCCCCCTCCACCACCCAACATTACTTATTATTAATATTTAGATTAAACTATTAATTATTACTCACAATAACATTATAAAATATTACTCACATATTCATATAAAACAATTATAATAATGAATTCTTAAAAATCAAATTACATTAATAAAAATTTAAGATATTTGAAATTACAATGATATGGATCATACATACTGAAGTACTCTAGCACCCCCGCAGTTGTGCTACTGGATACTACTCTGTACGTATAAAATTAGTTTTATGGTATTACAAATTAATATTAGTTTTGATTTATATTATATTATAAACAAAATACTAGTAGAATTAAAAAGCAACATATATTACTTAATAAGAGAAAAAAAAGGTAAATGCATATTTTGTGTTACTGTATTTTACGTTATTGTACCAAAAATTGATTTTGTTTAGAGCATTCAGGTTTACTAAAGAAAAAAAAAGCTTAAGTTATAAGCCACAATGTTCAACTAAACACTATTATTACTATCTTATCCATACTTAATTTGAAAATTCTTTTTAAGACCTATGAAATAAGAATTAACTATTTTATGTCATCATGGAATTCTTTGTCTGGTTATTTTCTGAAAAAAAGTTGAATTAATATTATTAATATTTTAATGATTTAAAATAATATTACTTTTGATTTGGTCTACTAGGTAGGTACAAATGTTGGCACGACAGGCATTATATAATTTGTAGTTAGCGCCAGATCAATATTCGTTTCTTGTTCGTTCAATTTTTCTAATTCAAGACGTTCTAATTCCTTTTGTAATTCTTCCTACATAAATAATAATTCAATTTATTTATTAAAAACATATCTGAAATCACTACATTTTCAAAAGTTTTAAATTTAGTTTGTATAGTACTAATAATAAACGAACAGAGAGATAAAGTTGGATATATTAAATTACAATATTACAGTATTAATAATGCATAAATACTAATCATATTATATAATATAGGGTAATTCACCATGCATGCTCACCACCATTTATTCCTTTAGCAATTAATTAAAATAATTCTGATTTTTGGAATTTTTTAAATGTACTCAAAGATCATACTTTCCAATTCCTGAATTTACTCACTATTTAAGAAGTGACTTGTATTGATATAAGCTCCTGTTTTTCAAATTAAAACCTCCCTCTTCTATTGCAAATGAATTATTAGATAATTTTTTTGTACATTTTTAAAGTACCACATTCAAAATTTGAACGAGTAATTTCTTAGTTATTAAAATGTTTGTATTAAAGATAATAGTCTTTAAAATTGGTTTTACATAAATATAAAATAGACGTAATATTGGATCTAGTATTTATTATACTTGGGCCATGTTTACAAATTGTTCTTAACGACAGATTAAAATAAATTACTACAATTTTTAAATCACTATAACCCGTCAGCCCTCATATCTTATAAACTAATTACTATACGGACCTTTTATGCTTAGAACACAATGTTAAATAACTCAAAAACTAAACGTTAAAATTTTGATTTTGATACATTACAGACATTTTAATGTATATTTAAAAATAAAAAAATCAGATTTTGAATAACTGCATTATTGAAGAAAAATATGGTGAGCATGCTTGGTGATCACAGCTTATTCTTGCATATTATGAACATGGTATTCAAATAAACTACCTACCTTACCTTAACTTCTTATCAACAACAAATGTTATTGAATTGAGATGAAATAACTTTAATTTTATACTCTTAATATCACTACCAACTAAGAAACTAACAATAAATTAAATTACTAATTCTTATATAAATATGTACTCATGTTCATATTATCTTACTCTAGCTATAACAATTAACAATTGAACATTAATAATAAACTTTTAATATTTTTTAATTAAAAAACTAATTTACAAGGTACTTTGTATTACATTTTCAAGTTTTTGATCCAACAAAGAACATTTTACAGATATTTATAGAAACAAAATAAATTTTTTTTTTAATTTCAATGGTTTTAAATAGTTCAAAAATAGTTTAAATATTTTGAGAATTGTATGGTATAATATAGACACTAAATGTCATATAATAATGTTTTTATTTGATTATTTCTATTTTTTCCCAATGCTATCAAATTTTTTTAGAGAATTTTAAATTTTAATCTCTTAATAGTACCCATTAGATTCTTTTTCCCAACAGAATTGATATTAAGATTTTCACCTAATCATTATTTTGGCTATTTATCATGTATACATGCATAAAAAACAAAAATAAATAAAAATAGAACACACATCATTGTAAAACCAATACATTTGATGCTCAATGCTCAGTTCAGTCTAAAATGTACAATGGTCAATAAGTACAATTTTGTTGTTACTAACAAAAATTATATATTACATAGTTTGAATTAGCTTCTAATTCCTGTAAGGTAATTTATTTTAAGATTTTTCTAAGGTAGTTATTAGTTATAATTATAATTATTATTTATTCAGCATTAAAAAATTTAAATAAATCCATCAGAGAATATAACTATGGAAAATATGGACTATAAATATTATAACTGTTTCAGATTCAGAGTATATATTCAAAACTTTTATACGTGTTTTCAAAAAAATATTTTTTCTTACCTCATCTTCATCAATTTCCGATCTAATTGGAATACAAATAGCTTCTGATATTTCTTGAGTTAAATCTTGTGAAGTTGCTATATCATCAATAATATCATGAATATCTTCTATGTTGCTGTAAGAAGAAATAACATTTTTTTTCATTAAGGCCAATTCAACATTTTTAATAATATGTAAATTTATTGAATAATTATACAAACTAAATTATACTAAGAAATACTATGGTCTAATAAATTGATAACCTACTAGATCACACAGTTAGACATTTAAAGAGAAGTTGGCACTTCGGTATCTCAAATTATTAACAAACCAACAATTTCTGTTGGTAGTGTATTATAATTGGTTGGTATCCCTTTCTGTTATTTTTTTTATTAATTGGGTACCTGTTTTTGTATGTAATTTTTTTCTGTAAACTTTTGTGTTTGTATTATGAATTTTATAAAATTTGCTTGTTGTACTGGTTATAATTTAATGGTAAATGCTTAGTAATTTTTGATATGAGACACATTTATTATGCACTTAAGGAGGTAAGACCGATTTGTATGCCGTACCGACAAACCTCATGACCCAAAATAAATAATCATAGTAAATTTGTAACCAAAAAGCCTAAAAAAAATCATTAAAGAAATAAAAGTAGTATTAATAAATTGTAGTTTTGGAGCATACGGTTCTATCCCTATGACACCTTTACTTCAACTAAATATATATTAAAAATATTTATTCTTCTTGTATTTATATTCTGAAAATATTATTATTATAATAATAATAATAATAATAAAAAAAAAATATTTATTTATTGGTTTTCTTTAAATAAGTATAAATTCTTTCAATATCTATCAATTTATTTAATGTTTCACATTTGCCAGGAGTCCAATCACAGATTCATTTTTTAAATTTTTAATATTGGTATGAGTAGTATGGCTAATAACAAAAAAAAATAGATGTAATAACACTCATTAATACATTTTTAAAGACAACTTTCTTTTATGATACCACAATAGCAGCAAAATATTAAATGTAATGACCAGGTGTTTCATACTAATTGTAATTAAGTACCTATCAATGAATTTCAATCTTAATGCAAATTGGAATAATTGGAGCAATTTAATAAATACACTAGATATTCATCAGTAGATACTCGAAGCTATACCACTGTTAGCTACATAAATTCTCATACAAACAAAGTAGCGTTCAGTAAATAGTAAAACTAAAAGAAATGGAATAATTTTTCTGAAGAGTGTAAGTTAGATCTTCTGTTATGTATGTTTATTAAAAGATCAAATTTTTTTTTGGTTTTTAATTTTTTAATCTACTTAGTATTGAATTTTCCACTGAACCATCTCTGCATAAACATTAAGTTTATTTTAATGTGTTTTTTTTAAATCACAGAGTTTTCACTAATGAATAATTTTTTTAATTTTTCCTAATTAATATTATATGTGTATTGACTAAATTATCAATAATCAATTTATGAATATACATACATTTATTAAATATATAAACTGTTTATTTTAATAAAAATAAAATAGTAACAAGTTTAAATATAATAAAAAAATTATGGGGGGCATGACCTATATAACAGTATAAAGAGTTAGAACAGCATAAATAATTACAAATATATGCTACTCAGAAAATTGTCTATTATTTAAAAAAGATTTAAAATAGGACCCCAAGTTAGTTTCAGTGAATACTAATTAGGTTTTCATAAAAAAAACATCAATGCCTCGTGTTGTCTATATTCAGTACAACGTGGGGCAAACAGAAAAATCAAAAAAAAATATAGAAGGAATAATTTGTATAGTTCAAATTCAACAGAAATCAATAAACTAAAAATTAACTTAAAATAATGTTACATTAGAAATACATCTATATTAGGTCATTAAACTTAATGTTATTTACAATATGATTTCAAAGTTGTCCTAAGTCTGACGGTAATTGTTGTTATATTTGACTTTTTGACAGAAAAATCTAAAGTGTAGGTAGGTTCCTAACACATATAATTATAATATGTATAGTAATTATGTTGATAACACTTACACATTTCGATTAGCCATTTCAACAGCGTATGAGGTCGAGCGTATTACATCAACCACAATATTGTGTGTGTTCGCACTTTCCAAGGCCGACTGTTGTTCTATGACTGTTGATAACATACTGTCATTCCGGGATAACCGTTTCTTATAACGATTCTTACGATTTAACGCATTCAACGCAACTGCAAGAAAAAAAAAGAAAAACGTTAATTTAAGAAAAAATTATTACCTACTCATGTATTTCTAGTAAGTTATACTATCCACCTTGTTTATTTTTTATCACATTCTTTTTTACTGTAGCTTGCTCTTTTTTAATATTTGTTTCTAAAACTTCACGTTTTTCCCTCAACAACTGTTCAGTAGATCGTAATTTTTTCAAAGTATCAACTTCAGTCGACTGTGACGATGACTGTCCTTTTATTTTTTTTTTGTTGCATCCGAATAGCTTGCGGAAGAAACTCATTTTCAGCTTTAACTTAACCTCTGTTGAAGTGGAGTAAAAGACAACAGATCATTCCACCAAACACCTTAATCTAATGGACTAACTGATGGAGAATGCAGTTCCAGCAGCGGTCCATAGCAGGCTGACCACCCTGACGCCTTGACCGGAAGTTCCGCCTATACTCTGATCACGTGTGTATGAATCATTCAGTCACCAAAAACTCGTTTTGTCCTCTCATCCCCACCAGAAAAGGGGCTCCACCACGCGAGCTTGGTGTCAGCCACGTGTATAAAAAACAGGTTATCCGTCGAAAGGAATATTTGAGGTTAGAATTTGTTAAGGTGGTGTAATTTTTCAAACCGCCGAGTACCGTCTACCTTGTAGACATTGTATACAATATCACAACACGTTTAATGTTTGTACATTTTGTGATTGTTTATCGACATAGTCACTGTTTGATGAAGACAAAAACTTTATCTCAGAAGTGCGATAACTGACTTGTAGTAGAATTTGCTTTAATCTGTAGGCATGTCTGTATATCATTGTGTTTTAGTATTTAAAAGGTATAAAGTTATTCTGTGTACTGAGAGGTACAAAGTAAATACATTTTTGAAAAGTACCCTTTATATTTTATATATAGATAAATCGGAGTCACCTATAGCTTTACCAAATACGTTTACCAAATTAGATTATTAGTACATATTTTAAAGGTAATGAGTATAACATAATAATTGTGCACTCTAATGATCCTGGAATATGGGATTTAACATAAAACAATTAGATAAATGCATAAAATAATAGAAATTAATAATTAATAAATCAATATTATCTATTTATAAAAATTTAAATGATACACTTTATGACACAGCATGACGCTCGCATGATCGAGATTTAAGAAATGATTGATTAATAAACTTGAGGATTAATATTACTTTACCGTGTGGTGTTGCCCGATACCGACATTTCGTTAGAGCACGGTTAACTATCAGCGGTAGGTAGTTGAACTATATTACTGTAATAATTTCTAACGACGGTTGCCGATGACTGACCTAAACACAGAACGCAAATCTATCGCCTGGGTGGGTTACAGTCTCTGTTATCTCACACTAACGATTTAGTTCTTAATCTATTTTTTGAATTTTTTTTTTCAAAATTTTTGTTTAAACTATCTAAATTTGATAGTCCGATAGTACTCGGATTCTCGAATCAATTAATGGCAAGAGTGGTCCGATTCAGATTTCAACGCATCCTTTGTAAGTTCAGTCCAATTTTTTTATCTTCTTAAACTTGACCACCTTACGGGCTTTCCTTGTCAGTATAACTTGAAATTCTTCGGACAAGTCGAGCCTGTACACGGTCATATACTCATGCTAGCGCAAACTCGCATTTTTCAAGAATATTTCTAATTCATCCTACTTGTCACCAATGAACGAGCCTGGCAGGAGTTTTAGAGCAGCCTCTAGTCTTATTTTCTCTCCTCCGGGTCCGTATGAATATCATACATTTGATTGACCTGGACTTTTTTCAGTTCCTTGAGGATTTGATATCTCTTTCTTTTATGCTATCATAGGTCAAAAGTCCTGGCTACCAAAAGTCCTGGGCCTGATGACTTATCGTATTCATTTATCCAAAATCTCCCACCGAATGGCAAATTTAAACTATTAAAAATATACAACTCTACATGGAACAACAGTGTATTCCCAAACCAGTGGCGAAATACAATCGTTATACCTGTACTGAAACCAAATAAAAACAAATTTGATATAGCTAACTATCGACCAATCTCACTCATGAACACAATTGGAAAAATCATGGAAAAAATGGTAAGCAAACGTCTCATTTGGCATTTGGAGACATCTAATTTTTTTAGCCAATACACAACTAAGGAATCCAAGACAAGCCCAATTGACAGCATTATAAACTACGCCAGAGAACTACCCCTTCAACTTCAAAGAGACCAAGACACACTAACACACACTATCAAAAGAAAAAGCACAACCAACCATATAGGATACAAAACCATCTTCAACAATCTTACCGCGTCTTCAATAAACACGGAACACAAAAAAGCCCTCGGTACGACACTTATTCACTAAGTTACAACAATCAATTTAAGTACACACCTCAGTTGTAAACAGAATTACGTTTCAAATATTTCCTCCCTAGAAATGCGAACTAAAACTTAGTACAGAACTCCTCAATTTCAATAAAAATGAAACAAACCATGGCATAATTTATTCTCAGTTTCAAAACACAATTCCACACTCGTTCCCTAATCATTCTAAATATATACAGATACTACTAAATCTGAACATAGGGTAGGCTTTTCGGTAGTTAAAGATAACAATATCATTCAACACGAACTCCCGAAAATAACCAGCATATTCTCTGCCGAAAACTACGCCATATTTGAAGGGGTACAACTAGGTAATACTTTAGAAACAAACGATATATTAACAATCAGCGACTCCCCTAGCACCCTACTAGCTCTTAAAAACACATCCTCAAAAAATGAAATAACCTCAAACATTCAAACATGCTTTGTCCAAACAAAAAAAAACACTGAATTCATGTGAGTCCTGTCGCACACCGATATTACAGGGAACGAAAAAGCAGACAAATATGCTGACCATGCAACGAAAACTATCCATAACCCCACAATAAACAACATATCCACCATCGACATCAACAATTCTATCAATCAAAAAATCCTCTCATCTTGGCAAAATTACTGGAATTCAATACCATCGTCTAAAAAACTTAAAAATATATAAAAAAACAATTAAAAAATGTAACACTCCCCCAAATTTCAACCAATGCCAAGATATTGCAATCATCCACTCCAGAATCAGGTACTCTTTCCTCCCCACTCATACTTAATCAGTAAAGAACCCTAACCAATATGTGAATCCTGCCACACTGCATTAACCATCAAGCGCATAGTGGAGGAGTGATCACAATATTCACGAACTCGCACCGACCTCAACATGCCATATATCACAGCAGAAGCGCTCGGCGAAAGTCAATCATCCATAATATTAATATTTTTAAGTACCACAAGTATTATTAAAAAGTTATAACTTAAAAAACATGTATGTATTATATAAAAACTAATTTTAAGAAAAACACCATGTAATTATTTAATGTCAGGCTAATAACCTAAGTTGTTGAAGCCATTTCTCTTAAATAAAAAAAAAATATATATATATATAACAAGCAATGCTTGTATAATATATTACAATTCACTATTACTACTATGAAATGGGAAGTTTAATCGGCCGAATTTGGCGGGTTATAAAATCTGTTATCAGCAGATTTAGCGTATAGAAGTGTAACCATAGACGGTACAACTGGCCCTTAGAATATAAATATATCGGTTATGAAGGACCAAATATTCCCTTTTTTTGCAAAAAGAACTTTTTGTATAGTTGGTACAACAGGTAAAAGTAAATAAAACTACTCCCCGTTGGTAATCGGACAGATTGGGTATATAAGCGTGCATCAAATCAAATGTATGCAAATTGACTACCAAGGTGGGTGAGTTGCACTTATACCCACTCATCGGCGTGTCCACAATCAAAATAAAAATAAAAATAAAACATTTTGTACAGTATGCGTATAGTGGCGTCCGCAATCCTCTTCAGGTGGATAGCCTACCTGGTAATATACTGTTCGTATTATCACAAGAGAGTTTCATATAGAACTGGCATTTTTAACAAGCAACAAAATGCATCGGATCAGTTAATATATAAATATATATTATATATGTAATATAGATATAAGTAGGTATATTTTCAGCAGATTTTTTTCATAGAATTAACCACCTTATTAGCCTTGACTTGAGCAAATTTGGTGAATGACAATTTCTCATATTAACTCCTCAGAAAAATAAAAAAATAATTTTTTCTAGCATATTTGAAATTAAAAAAAAATATATATCATTTGCACAACTATTATAGCTAACAATTATAAATAAGTATAAAACAAAAAATGAATTGTTTTTATTTGTTATTATTATAAAACAACTTGAATTAATAATAATAAAAAACAAATGATCCAGTAAAAAGAACCCGGAAACAAAATAACCGGAATCAAAAATATCTCATAATATAAACTGGTATATTTATGGTGGTAGATACATAGTTACGATTATTAATATTAAGACTAGGCAATACTAAAAAAATGGATCTAAATATTTATAAATACTTTATTTTCATACTAAGATATTTAATTTATTTAGATTTTTATGTACCTATAAGCATTTTCATTTTTCAAGTTTCTAAATTAGTTTTAAATTATATTTATTGAATTGTACGTGATTACACGTTTACAAACCAGGAATTTAGCATGCTCACAGATTGAGAGTTTCCTAGCTAATTTTATATAATTTGTACCCACCAAACTATTGACAGCTAAACATTAATTGTATCAATAAATAAAATGTATTATTTTTATAAAAGATTTATGTTATGAGTTGCTTTACAAACAAACAAACAAAACAAACAAATTCTATATCTCAATGTGTAAACATTACTGTCTTAAAAATAATGTGTTACAAAAAGGTAGAGTTTTTTTGGCACTCAATTTGGGAGACCCTGTATGTGTATATATAATATATATTATACATAACATTTTAAATAACTGAAAACTCGGTACAAATTATTTATTATTTCAATTATGTAGGTTACGAGTATATTGTTTATTTCATATCACTTTAGTTATTACAATTTTTTTTCTTATACTTTAGTGTATCTAAGTTTGGTGCAATAATATTGAAAAAAATAAGTCATTATGGCAGATGAACAAGTTGAATTAGCGTCAAAAGATGTGTTTGTTTTACTGGGAGTCTCTGCTCCTGAAAATTTAGAAATTGGAACCAAACGGCAAGAACAAGGGGATATAAAAGGCGATGAAAATGAATCAGTGTTTACGCTTGATGAAGAAGATAAAACTAAATTTATGGTAATCAGTGTTTTAAGTATTTAATGTTATTTGGACTACAAGTTGGTAGACACGGATTAAATTATTTTTTGGGAGTTACTACTGTGTGAAATATCCACTAAGTAATATGGATTATAGTGTATACAATTATTATGAATTCAGAATTTATGATACCTACTAAAATATTAGTCATAAAAGGAAAAAAATAATATTTTGGTACCCATCTCATAATATTATGGTTTTTGTATTATTTTTAAAATCTGTTACTTCAAGAAAGTAGTTAA